GGCCTCTACCCAGAGTTTGATTAGCTGGGCCTGGCTTGCCTGCTTACCCACCAGCCACTGGCTAGGGGCCAGGCTGCAATCTGGAGGCTCCCAGCCCCTCCTCCTGCTCTCTCCAGCTGGTAAACAGCAGAGCAGGAGCCAGCCACGCCAGGGCCTCGTGACGCTCCCACTCCCTCTCCGTCCACCTGGCGCACGTGGCACCTGGCGTGGAAAGGGCAGGCAGCTGGCCTTTCTCCCCTAGCACTCCATTCTCCACCATTTTCCACTCTTGCCCGTCCTTAGGGCTCCACACTCTGCTACCATCTGCACCTGTGTCTCTGGGGAGTTGAGTTTCTTAAACCTCAGGAACAAAGATTAGGAGAAATAGCGTTTCTGACTCCTGGGGTGATTGATAAGGGCTTGGGGTATGAAATGACTTTTGAGGGCCTTTGAGGCTCTGACTATTCCCATGTCCTTTGTGTGTATACATGTTTGTAAACAGACATTTCCTCTCTCAACTGCCTGGTCCCAAATAACCAACTGAGAGGCTGAATATGAATTATCAATGCTTGGCCGATAGCTCAGGCTTATTACTAGCTAACTCTTACATTTTAAGTTAACCCTTATTCCTTATTTACCCTCTGCCATGTGGTGGTACCTTTATTAACATGGCACATTCATCTCCTGCTCCCTCTGCCAGGTTGCAATCCTCAGACTTCGCCCTTCCTCACCCCAGCATTCTGAGTTTGGCTTTCCTGACTAACTTTATCCTGTTCAGCTATTGGTCAGTCAGTTTGTTTATTAAACCAGTCATAGTGACAAATATTAACACAGTAGTATTATTCCACAGCACATGTTCACGTGTGTGTACTTGTATGTGGATATGTGCACAGGTGTGAGTGTGCATGCCTGTGGAGCTAGAGGTTGACATCTGGTGTCTTCCTCAGTCACTACCTTATTTTTTTTTTTTTTGAGGCAGGGTCTCTCACAAAACCTGGAGCTCACCATTTTGGCTAGACTGGCTGGCCAATGAGCCCTAGGAAGCTGTCTCTACCACCCTATTGTTGAGACTACAAGCGCCTACCTACCTACCCACTGTACCCCTGTTTTATTATGTGGGTTTTGAGGGGTGGAACTTAGGCCTTGGTGCTCTTGTGGCAACACCTCACTGGCTAGATCACCTCCACAGACTCTCCATGGCCTTTGGTGAACATGAGCCCTATGGACTTCTCAGAACATGAAGTCAGTTTGGAGAGCTTTGAGGTGAGAGGCAAAGTTCTGGTGGTGGTACTCCCACCTAGGACCAGAGCCAGAAAGAGGCAGGAGGATAGGCTGGGGCATTCAGGGGATGGGGACCTTGCTTGCCCACCCCTACCCCAGAATTATCCCCTCTGCTCTTTTCTGTGTTCTGTGCAGAATTCCCTTCCCTGCCCATCAGTCTTCAGCTTCTTGTGCCTTACCAGTCCGCCTTCCACCTCCCCTGCTTTTGGTTCCTGTTTCTTATTTTTATTTAATTTTTTATGTTTATGGGTGTTTTGCCTGCGTGTTTTTTTGTGATATTTATCCACTTATCAAAATACTTTAAGAAGCAATTACTTATTTGGGGGACTGGTGTTCCATGTTCCATTTTGTGAGGAGGGCTAAAAGAGATAGACACAATTTGTGGATCTTTTCCTTCTGCTTTTTTTTTTTTTTTTTTTTTAAATTCTGTTATTCCATGACTATTCTAGCTCCCTCCCCTGACCGCCTGGTCCTGCTACTTATTTGCAGGGCCTCAGAAAACACAGAACACGTTTGCCTGCATGTTTGTATGTGCACCATTTATATATCTGTTACACCACGGGGACAGAAAATGTCAGAAGCCTGGAACTGGAGTCTCAGATGGTTGTGAGCCACGAACGCACAACCCTGACTCAGCCTTGGGTGTGCTGGGGTTACAGGCCTGCTTCACTGGCCACATCCTTTCCTCTTTTGGCTTCTCTCGGTGATTCTGGCTCTCAGGGGCTTCAAATGACGCCTCCTTCAAGTCAGAGGTACAGGGTGGAATGTCTAGGAATGCTTGCAGATGTCACACAGTATGGCACTGGCAGACACTACCAGAATGGCTGCTTCTCCGGCTGTACTGCTTCATTCTCCTGTGTGAATGCCCAGGGAGTGACTGCCAGTTGGGAAGACAGGGTCCTGGCCTTGAGAGCCATTTGCTTTCTTGGCATTCATTGCTTTGCTGTTGTTGAGACAGGGTCTCACTCTAGTCCAAGATGGACTTGAACATTCATGAAGACCCAGTTCCCTCAGCCTTCTGAGTGCTGGGATTATAGGTATGAGCCACCATGCCCAGCTTTTGGTCACTACCTCCTGCTTGGGGGTGTGTGGGGGTGGGGCTTAGGTTCCTTCTACCCAAATTGACACCATGACCAGGGAATTCTCCCTGCTCACAACTCTCAGGAGATTGAGACTACAGGGGAACTGCTCCAACAGCTTCAGCCATTTGTTGCTCCCACAGTGGCCATAGGGTGAGTGAGTGTACGGTGGTGATTATCCAGTGTGACCTTGGACCTTGCTCAGCTGGTAGAGAGACCAGAGTAGGTTCTGGGATTAGCCTCTCTGGGATGTCCTGACCTACCCCCCTCTCCCTGTAACTAAGGCTCTTTTTCTGTAGGAATCTGTGCTTTCTAAGCAGGGCAGGGGTTATTTCCTCCTCAAATACATTCTTATGCAAGGAAGAGGCTGATAGGAATCAGAGAGTCATTCTACCCCCACGTGCCCAGTCCCCTTATCAGGCTCAGAAATCTCAAAGCAGGGGGCAAACAACCTGGAGGGGGTGGTGGTGGCTTGGAAATGGGGAGCAGTCACCAACTCCTCTTTCCCTTCCTCCCCACCCCTTAAACCACAGAAACCACTTAAAGCTCAGCACAGCCCTGTCCTTCCAGGGAGGACCCGAGGCAGTGGGTAAAGAGAAACCTGTGGGGTTCGGGCAGCCTGATGCCATTCTGAGCCCGGCTTGGCCCAGAGAAGGCCAGCTCCTGCAGCTCCTGCTGGAGCATAACGCAGTGCTTTAGGGACCACCTTCCTTTGAGTCTTAGGGACTTTATGCCCGGGGAGACCTCAACCCTCCAGAATGACTTGGAGAGAGGATGGTGTTTTGGCCATTAAAAAACAGACAATGCAAGCTTTTTGGAACATTTGTGGTTTCTACTGTTCAGCTTCCAGCCTGTCACCTTCACAGAGGTTCAGGGAAGGAGGAGTGGTCAGGCATAGAGCTCTATATGGTGACCCTGCTTATAGCTCTCATTTCCCAGTTAACACTGAGATGGGCCTGGAAGTGAGGAGGGTTGAAAAATCAGGAACTGGGAGCCCTAGATTCAACCCCCAGGACCTCATAACCTGACAGGGCGGTGCTCACGTGTAATCCCAGCACTTGGGAGATGAGGCAGGAAGATCGAGGGCAAGGAAAGGGGGGATTCTTTGTCATCCTCAGCTGCATAGGGAATTTGAAGCTAGCCTGGGTTACATTAGGTCTTGCCTAGAAACAATTACAAAGAACAAAATTGGGAGCTTTGATTTTGGGGACAAAGAAGACTTTAACAATGTGGTCTGCTGGGTAGCAGCCATGAGCCCTGAATCCTGTCACAAACTTCATCCCCAAAAGGGGGTGGGGTGTGTATCATGGGGGCCAGCCTGAGCTGTTGATGCTGTGCCTGAGCGGCTTGCACACAGGATAGGTTCTTGGGTTCATTTGCTCCCAAGGCATATATCTGTGTCTGGGACTGTGTGTCCCTGTCATGAGCCCTGAGGAAACGTGACAGAACTTCTGGGGGACTTTGCCCCACTTAGACTCCCCAAAAAACCTTGGGCTGAGTTGTGGCAGGGGATGTTTGTCCAGAGTCGATGTCAGGAATCTTTCTTACAACCAAAGTCGATCCTCAGGCAAGTTTATTTAACCTCTCTAATCCTCTTTCTGCCTTTGTGAACTGGGAATAATAATGCCTCCCTTACCCAGTGGTGATGAGATAAGGCCAATGGGTAAAGTACAGGGCCTGGTACAAAGTACTGCAGCTAAAAAGGGGAGTATTTCAGTCCCTCCCTCTCTTTTCCGCTCCTGTAATCCTGCCTCCCTCTTTCTCTTGCTTTACTTTTCTCATGTCTTGTCACCAACTAATTTTTTACTCTTATTCATTCATTTTATGACCCAGTTGATTCCTGTGTTTGTGGCCGTCTCCACTGCCTGGCACCCCATAGACCCTCCTTAGCATTACTGAGGAATGGATGAATGAGGGTGAGCTGACCTATAGGCATCTTCCCAGGCACTTTCAAGTCTCATCGCTCACTAAAGGTTGCTATGAGAGAACTTCAAGGTTGATGCAGAAATACAGTTCAGCACAGCAGAGAGAGCGACGTGTGGGGGTGGACTTCTTAGGTGTGAGTCCAAAGTGCCAGGAAGAGAAATGATTGAAGAACTATCATCCAGTGGAAAAGCCACCTTAGGCTTTTAATACACATTTAAAAAATTATATCTACTTACATGTGTGTGAGTAAGCCCTCTCCTTCCACCGTGTGGGTCTCAAAGATTAAACTCAGATTCTCGGGTTTGGCAACAAGTACCTTGAGCCATGCTACCTAGTTTTATTCTTTATTATCTGACTAAGGCCCAAGGTCACATTGAATCACAGCTGTACACTTACCTTATGGCAGTTGCCAGGAGGAACAAACATTTGAAGCGGTTGAACAAGTCCTCCTATGGGGGTTCAGATTGCTTTCAGAAGGGAGAATTGTTCGGTCAATGCCACCACCTGGTGGACACTATGAGCAAGGGCTTGGTGGTGGGAACTTAATCAGTGGAGGAAGAAGGAACAGGGGAACCTTCTGACATGGGACGGAAGAGTGCTTGTGTGTGTGTGTGTGTGTGTGTGTGTGTGTGTGTGTGTGTAGCTGCTGATGTGATTTTTGTTGGGAACAAGCAGGTTTAGCCCCTGGGGGGGGGGCACAGCTGGCACCATGGAAAGTGAGAAAAGGCCCAAGGGGGATGAGGAAGAAGCTGGATTGGTCTAGGGCCTGTCATCTACCTTCCTTCCCTGATTTCCTCCTCCAAGTCTGGCTTGAGCCAGGAGGAACTAGTTCCCATGAAAGCAGAGGTAGAGAGAAGGTCACTGTTGACGTCAAAGGCTTTCAGGTAGGAGGTAAACACAGGCTGACCCACTTTTATTTCACTGTCTTTCACCCTCATCTCCTCCTGGCTGAAGCAGCCTTTTCTGGCATCCCTGATAGTATCTTCTTTCCCAGATCCCAGTTCTTACACCCCCAAGTACTGCTGGGTACCCAAGTGCTACTCTGTGCACCCCTTCCCCCCACAAAGCTCCCTGGCTGTTCTGGGAGCTATAGACTAGACTGGCCTTGAACTCAGGGATCTTCCAGTCTCTGTGCTAGGATTAAGGGGGGTTTGGCACCATGCTTGGCTGGCTTACTCCATAGTTATTGACTCCAGCCATTCTTCCTGCTCCTGCAGCACAGGTGCACAGATACACAGATACGTAGGTGCACAGGTTCAAAGGTGTGCAAGTGCACAGGTATACAGGTGTATAGGTACACAAGTATGCAGGTACACAGATACACAGGTTCAAAGGTGTGCAGATGCACAGGTGCATAGATACACAGGTGCACAGATGCACAGGTTCAAAGGTGTGCAGGTGCACAAATGCATAGGTGCACAGGTTCAAAGGTGTGCAGGTGTACAGGTACACAGGTGCACAAGTGCACAGGTTCACAGGTACACAGGTAAACAGGAATGGATGTGACTGGCCAGAGGGGGGCAGAGAGGTTTAAAGGGCACTGTGTGTTAGTCTGTGCTTCCCTGACTCACTCTTAAGGTTCAAAAATTTCATTTGTCTTTAGGACAGATATTGGTCTAAAGGGTAGGTAGGAAGGGCCAGTTTCCTCTGTGCAGACCCAAGACACTTTCACCAGGGGAGGGTGGCTTTGTGCTCTGGTTGTGTTCCTAGAGCTCTTGTTGGGGTGACTCAGTGACTCAAGGGCTCTCTGAAGGTGCAGGCTTTTGATGGACTCTAGAAACCTGTGATGGTGAGTTTTAGTTGTCAAGAGACAGTCTAGAATCTCCTGGTCAGAGAATTGTCTCAATCATGCTGGCCTGTGGGTATGTCGGTGGTGGTGGGTTCTCTATGTGAAAGATCTACCCATATTGTGGAATAGAATATTTGTTTAATATGTAAAGATGTATTGCATTTGTTTATGCTGCATTTGTTGAACTATGTGAAGACGTGTTGTTGTTTCACCTTGCCTGCCTAAGGCACCTGACTGGTCTAATAAAAAGCTGAATGGTCAGTGCTGGGCAGAGCAGGGATGGGGGTGGGGACCCTGCCAGACTTGGAGGAAGCAGGAAATCAGGATGGACGGTACATAGATGAGGTAAATGAGCCTTGGGGAAGCACATAGATTAATAGAAATGGGATAATTTAAGTTAAAAAAAAAACTGGCTAAAAACAAGCCTGAGCTGGGGCTGAGTATTCATAATTGATAGTGGGCCTCCATGTCTGTGTGGTGGGCCAAAGACAACTCCAGCTTCCAGGCCTGGAATTTGCTTTGTAGACCAGGCTGGCTTCAAACTCTGAAATGTACCTGCCCCTGCCTCCCAAGTGCTTGTGATTAAAGGCGTGTGCCATCATGCTCTGCTTTATTTATTTTATTATTTATATGTGTGAGTGTTTATTCATGTATGCATATGCATGTCTGGCCTTCAGAGACTAGAAGAGGACATTGGATCTCCTGGAACCAGAGTTTCACAGGCAGTTGCAAGCTGCCTGATGTGGGTGCTGGGAACTGAACTTGGGTGCTTTGGAAGAGCAGCAGTGCTCTCAACCACTGAATCTCTCCAGCTCTCTCTTTTTCTGCTCCTGTGAATGTGACTAGCTGCTTCAAGTCCTGGCCTTGATTTCTTCACAATGATGGTCTATCACTTGGAATTGTAAACCAAATAAACTCTTTCTATGTAAAAATTGCTTTGGGGGGGTAGTTTATCACAGCAATGGAAATAAAACTAAGACAGGACCCTAGGCCCCACTCAGTCTAGCCCTTTTGAAGTAGCATCTCTTGGGGATGGATACTAGGCTCTGCATGTTTAGCAAGAACTTCCAGGGTTTCTGATGACTGTGTATTCTGAATCTCTTGGACCAGTGCTTAAGGTCTGCCCCTGCTCATCCCAGTGGACTGGGCAGAAGGAAGGAAAAGAGTTGCTGCAAAGCCTAGAGTTTTTGGTGCCCGCTGGGGAGCATGCAGTTAGAGACAAACTGATGTTTTATTAACAAAAATAAATACACGTTGAGCAGATGATAAGAATGAGGGCTGCAGACACAGTGGAGACCTCCCAAGGAATCTGTGGTGTCAGTCTACAGGCTGAGATGTGCAGGTGCCAGGGAAGACCCTGGAACCCCAGTCAGTGGGGGCAGCAGGGCGATGAGGGGCGTCTCACACTCCCCCAGCAGCACGTCCCTGCGCAACC